CATATCTAGCTGCAGTGATGTGTTTTTCTTCATTAATGCCAGTAGTATTAACAGCATTGAATTGAATTAAGCTTTACTAAGACTGTAGCAGTTAGGGAGGATCTTCAGATGCTTTCCTCCAAAATACTACAGAAGAGAATAATTTGATTATCTTTTTTTTTTTTTTTTTAAGTCTAATGCTTAAGAACTCACACAGAGAACTTCATTGCTGTCACTGAATTAACCATCCACACATACCACACAGAACTGTGAAATAAAAAGGCATCATTTTTTCCTCCAAACTCTTCAAAAGCATGGGTGCCTTGAAAAGGTGCTTCAGATCTGGACAAACGTAAGAGACAGACTTAAAGTCCTACAATGGGGGCTCAAATTCAGTAGTTTAATTTTAATTACCCTCTCCAGTCAGACTGGGTTGTCATATGAAATATTTTAAACCAAATGGAACGCAGTATTTCAGTGAGAAGCGATTGTCCTTACAATTCTGTCACTCTCAGTGTGTGTAGTGCTGTGGATAGTTGTATGACAATAGTATATTGCAAGAAAAGACTGTGTTCCCCATGATAAAACAACCTTGGAAGGAATTATGGCAGCCAGGCTCCTGAACAACTGATAATGCAGCTAGAGATGTGTTACTCCAGGTACCTATTACAAGAACACATAGAGGACCATGTATTGTGAGGCTGATGTGTAAGCTAGTATAGCGGATGGAGCTGTTTCCACAGCTGTAATAACTATCCTAGGAGTAGTGTTGTCATCCTTGCTACTGTAACTACAGGAGTGGTTTGAATAGTTTTGTGCTATTGGAGAACTTACTATTTGTATAAATAGCATGTGAATTAAACCTATGGCCACCTTAATTTATACAGACTTTTACAAAACTGTAGAAATTCCACAGCAGGGCAGACTCCACTCCAAACTCCAGTTCCAAATGGAATATCAGAAATAAGGATTATTTGAAATAAGGATTATTTGAAAGCCAAAGCGTTTAAAAAATTGGTGATCACTTGAGCACAAATGTTGCTGAATTAAATCTTTTACAAATACAATTATATAAGTGCAGGTTCTGTAAATGGCACACATCCAGTTGCCTTAGGGCTGAAATTAGATTCTTGTCACTAAACAGCAGCTGCAGTCAGTTGAATAAGTGAAAGCTTAGTAGGACCATTCCTTCATCCCCTTTCCAAAGCAGTATCTTTAGACTTTCTCATTGCCAAGACTAGAGAATTATTCATTTCTTCCCAGCAGATGTACGCTGAAGTGCTTATCTCCCCTCTGCCCATTAATAATTTCCATGACTGTTATAAAAGCACTGCTCAGGGTGCAAGTATAGCCTGTTAAAACAAACCAACCCTCTCTTCCTGTCACTACTGTGTTCAGGATGCCTCGAACCTGCTGGTGTATGGTCAACATACTGCTAGCTTTCTAATAGTGAAGAGTATTGATTTACATACCCAATAAATACCTTGCAGGCATTTTTCCTTCTTTAGTCATTGTTCAATAAAACACAGATGGACTCAAATAAATTGACATCATAGTCAAGACCTCCTAGCAGCTCCACTCACATCTCCTTGGGTCTTTCTGTAGTCTCCAGGATTTTTGTAAATATTTGTTTCCCTAAAAATAATTACATGATAATATAATTATTTCATTATAATAATTCTCATAATTAATTTTGCTGTGTTTAAAACTTAAAGAAATGAGATAGAACATACCACTATATTAATCTGAGGAGCATATTTTGTATTTCTTCAAATTATTTCTGTTTTTTATTTTATTGATCTTGTTGATATGATCGGTAAACTTCTCAGCCACTTCCAATCTAAAATATTTATTTTTATTGTACATCAATAAAAACTTAGATGACAGATGAATAGCAAGAAGGGGCAGACACATGGTTTTATGCTATTTTAAGCGTGAACGTGCTACATCTAGTTTGCTAATGTGAAACAATATTGATAGGCCTGGAGTATATAGAGGGAAAAATTCATATTGTAAATTCAATTTCTTGTCTTAGTATGTAGGCTAGACACTTACCTATTTGCCTTATACTAATACAGAAGTTCTTTATTTTTAATTCTTTTTTCCTTCTTTTAATTTCATTGTCATTTCATGCAAATATAGAGCTGTTTTGTACTGGCATAACTGCATGAAAATCTCTTTGAAATAGATGTAACTTAATTTATTCATCAGTATTTTCTGTGTAGTCTTAGAAAGCAGATTCCTTGCTAACAGTTCACAAGCACTTCTGTTTGTCTTCCTACAGCTTTGTGTTTGATGAGTGTAATGGGCCAACCGATGGACTTATATGGGTAAAGTTTCAGGCAAGCAAATTCTGTAATGTATGTGAAATATTGACTAAAACACATCTAGTTTTATTTCTCAGAAAGCTTATTTTCTCAAAACTAATAGCATTTTGATGATCAAAAAACATTGTAAAAATAAATTATGTGATTACTTAGGATGCTTTTAGAAATGGCATTGAAGAGATTCCACTGTACTGTTCCTCAGTATGTGTGAAAATTTTTTATTTTAAGTTCTTGCATACAGAGTTTCAAGGTAAAGTCAGAGGGGCTTATGTCCTTTTGAAGCAGGATGAGTAGTTTTTCTGAAAAAGAACAGAACTCAATTTTGACATCCCATATTCAATACTTCATATCTTCCAGGTTTTTTATGTAAAATAGAGATTTCGTGGGTTCTCTTGCTACTTTCATAATAGAAGATCTGTTACTTTATGTGAGGAACCCACCCCTTTGTTTCAGATAATTCCTCATGAAATTTCAGTGGAAAAAAACAGCACTCTGCCCCAATTCTTAATGCTCTTCTCTGTTGTGGGTACTGTACATAGTAGGAGCAGTTAAATACTTACTTGAGCCAGAGTAATACTGATCTGCAGGAGAGGGTGGAATCAGTTACTGGTTTTACAGTTAGGAAGCACCATTCTTCCACTACATTCTTCTCCCTTCTTCCTACTACATTTGATCCTACGGCAACCTAAAAATTTTTCAGGAAAGAGAGCTTTGAGACTTTTCAGCAACAGGGGTTAAACTGAATTTTGCCATTTTGAGAGTGGGGCAGGGAGAATATGATCTCATTCTCTCATCTTGATTTTAATAAAAGTGCATGGGATAAAATAAGATCACAGTTGAACTGAAATATGGAAACACTCTTTCTTTAGTATTTCAAGTTTCTTAAACCAAACCTTTTAAACAGAAAATATCTGACCTATTTTTATGGCAAGAATATATATTTCCAAAGTTTGTTTTGTCACTAGTCATAAGGCATTTAAATCTTTACCTTTAGTCAAAAAAATCATTCGCTAAATGCCAACTCCATATACATAGATTCTGCCTTTGGAAATGAAAGGGAGCTATCTCTATAGATGTATCTACTCCCTCCTGAGAGTATGCCATATGCAAAGACACTGGACAGCTAAGCACAGAGGTCAGTCTGTCTGGGAGCCTGATGGTGATAGAAATGAGCCATGTCACCTCTGTCTCTGTTTCCCTGCTAATCTTTTTTGTCTATTAAATCACATCAATCACCTTGTCACCTCCTTGTGCTCTAAAAGTTTACTTCTCTTTGCTGAGTTTTAACTATTTGTTTAGCCATTTGAAGAATTTCTAGTTCTATGCCAGCTATTTTTGTAAGCATCTTTTGGCTAAGGACTTAGGACTAAGGACTTTAGCTAAGGACTTAGGTCTAAGGACGTTAGCTACACAGGTTTTGGAGAAGGCTGAGGTTCTCAATGACTTCTTTACCCCGGTCTTCATTGGCCAAGGCTCTGACCGCAGCACCCAAGTCTTGGAAGGCAGACGCAGGGACTGTGAGAATGAAGACCTTGGGCCCACTGTAAGAGAGGAACTGGTTTGAGACCATCTTAAAAATCTGAACATGCACAAGTCCATGGGTCCTGATGAAATCTGTCCGCGGCTCCTGAAGGAGCTGGCAACTGAAGTTGCAAAGCCGCTGGCCATCATATTTGAAAAATCATGGCAGTCAGGTGAAGTTTCCGATGACTGGAAAAAGGGAAATATAACCCCCATTTTCAAGAAGGGGAAAATGGATGACCCGGGCAATTACAGACCAGGCAGTCTCACCTCTGCCTGGCAAAATCTTGGAGCAGATTCTCCTGGAAGGCATGCTAAGGCACATGAAAAACAACAAGGTGCTTGGTGGCAGCCAGCATGGCTTCACTAAGGGGAAATCCCGCCTGACCAATTTGGTGGCCTTTTATAATGGGGCTACAGAATGGATGGACAGCAGTAGAGCAGTTGATGTCATCTACCTGGACTTGTGTGAAGCGTTCAACACTGTCTCACATGACATCCTTGCCTCTAAATTGGAGAGACATCAATTTGATGAATGGACCACTCGGTGGATAAAGAACTGGCTGGATGGCTACACGCAAAGAGTTGTGGTCAATGGCTCAATGTCCGGCTGGAGACCAGTAACGAGTGGTGTCCCTCAGGGATCGGTGTTGGGACCGGTCTTGTTCAACATCTTCGTTGCTGACATGGACAGTGGGATTGAGTGCACCCTCAGCAAGTTTGCTGTGTGGAGATCTCGTAGCATCCTTCCAGCATCTGAAGGGGGCCTATAGGGATGCTGGGGAGGGACTCTTCTTTAGGGACTGTAGTGATAGGACAAGGGGTAATGGGTTAAAATTTAAACAGGGGAATGTTACATTGGATATAAGGAGGAAATTCTTTCCTGTTAGGTTGGTGAGGCACTGGAATAGGTTGCCCAGGGAGGTTGTGAATGCTCCATCCCTGGCAGTATTCAAGGCCAGGTTGGATGAGGTCTTGGGTGATATGGTTTAGAGGGAGGTGTCCCTGCCCATGGATGTTGGAACTTGATGATCTTAAGGGCCTTTCCCACCCTAACTATTCTATGATTCTATGATTCTATGACTCAGCAAATGCCTCTGAGTATATTTCTGTTGTCAATATGCCTACTGATGCCTGTAGAAAGTATTTTGATAAATAATGAGGATTAACTTCCTTCACAAAATCTGTTTCTGTCATTGCCAATAAATGTATATGTCTATAAGGCATTCATTCTATTTTTATAACAGTTTCCAGCTATTTGCCTAGCTTTACTGGTCTATGATTACCTAGTTCTCCTTTGGTATCAAAGCAAATTTAAGCCAGAAGTTGAATACATTTTGGTGGTTAAATCTAGAGTTTCTTAATTCTATTGGCAGTTATCATGTGATTCTGGTGTTTTGTTACTGCTAATAAAACTGTTTTGATGTCTTCTTTCATTAAATTTGATTTGAGGTAGGCTCTCTAGTATGCCATTGTAAAGAGATATTCCAACATATGAGTCTCTCCAATCTCCTCCTCCAAAAACACATGCAAGTAATGCATGGATTTTTTTTTTTTTTTCTCAGTGGCTTTATCTTCTGTAAGCACTTACTCTATATCCTCATAATTTTTTTACCCTACAGATTCTCAACAGGATTTGTTCTTCTGTGGTTTTGATGTCTTTTTAAAGTTGTTCCTCAAACACTTGTTCGGTGTGTCATATATATTACACCTGTCAGAGTTTATGATCCTCTCTGGTTCCTTCATCTGGACATGAAACCTCTTACTCTGCTGTTTAGCAGCATCAGGTTCTTTTGGTTTCTCTTTTAAGTTTTTAGTAGGCACATTTTATTTGTCTTTGAATACTCTGTATACTGTCTTTAAGAATTTTTGTTGTCATTTTAAAGAAAAAGCAGGAGTGGTCCAGTGCAGTGCTTCCGGCGAAAACAAGAGCTGCTTCCTCTTCTTCAAGTTTCCTGACTGGTCATGAAATAATGGTTCCTGGCAACATGTCCCTGTACGTTTACCACCGTCTACTGGGTGTAAGTGAAGTTTACTGCTTACTATCTTGTTGCATGGTTGATAATGTAATGCTATCAGCATATTTCTCTTCTTTGCCCAGAATGCCAGTTCCATAGGCTCACATTATATTAACCTGACTTAGAGGGCTTAGCTGATTTTTAAGCTACTCTTTAACATGTGATGCTACTTACTGCTCAGTGCAGCTTACTCCATCTTTTATATATGCTCTGACTTCTTTTCAGTGGTTCTGATTATTTTCTTTTCACTAGGTGTCCTGTATGCTTATTATGTCCATATTTGATATTGATACCATCAGTGAAAAGTGTGTAGGCAAGCTGGTCTGGGAGGCAGTCTAGTTCCCCATTGTATTGTTTAAATAGCTGCAGAAAAACATGTAGAAGTTGTTTTTACTACATTTCTCTATAGAACTATTTTTTTAAATGTAGAACTGTTGCTATTCTTTGCTATTTCCTAGTTGATTATTTCTAGCTTCCATCCTTTATATAAATTCTTTTAACTTTCCCAGTGAGTTTTTCTGTACCCATCAGTGTTCTTCCACTTTTCGGTTTCAGCAGCTTTAAACAAACCTAGCTGTGTCCCTGGGAAGTGAATTACCCAACGCTGTAGCCTGCAACTTTTAACTAAGGTTCATGACAAGAGTGTACTTGCCTCTTGTGAGGAGGATTTGTCATGAACATCATTTCTAACTGGGGTTCAGGGCCCTCCTTCCACACAATGGGGGCTGCTAGCCTGCAAATGTTCACTGATAGGAACATACATACAACCTTCCTGAGGAGCTCCTGATTGCTGTCTGTTGTGCAGTGTGGCATGTTCTTTGGGCCTTCAGAGTCTTTCGCTTTCTAGTTGGATGGGCTGCCTTTCTCAGTTCATCCTGTCAGTCCTAGCTAATTGGCTGCCCCTTGTTTCTTTGTAGCACAGATATACCATGATAGATTTTTCTTTCTTTTTTTTTTTTTTTTTTCTCTAGCAGTTCTTTCACAGGCAAAAAAATCTGTATCTGGTAGATTCAGTTTCCACAAAACACTGCGACTTCTCATGGCAGAATCTGGGCTGAAGAATCTCAAGCAGACCCTTCCACAAAACCTGATGTGTTTGATACATTCTTGGCATTGAAAGTGTCTCCAGGAATCTGCCTTTTACCTAGACGGGCACCTCAGCCAGTGTCTCTCCTGTGGCTACTCTTCAGTATGTTGTGGTGCTGATCAGCTTATTTCTGAAACTCTTCTGATTGCTTAAGCCATGTAATTCTGAGTATAACTATCTGATGGGAGGGAACAGCTCCTGGATGTGTTGAATATGGTTATTGCTTGCATTTGAGTACATTTATATTGAGGGTCACCCTACTGGCAGCAAACTAAGCATGGAAGAGGGATTACTTTGAGAGTCCCAACATATTACTTAACTACATAGATTAATTTACTATAGCCTCAGTAGCAAATAATTTTCACTACGGTCAACAGCAGCATATTGGGGAAACTGATCATGTTGTTGCAATAGAAGAACAAATATCCTGCCATGTTACATGGGCTAAGGTAGGCTGTTTCTGCCCATGTATCGAAGTATATCAGGGAGCTAGTTAAGGCAAAATGTACTCTGCTGCTGAAACTCTAGTTACAGTGAGAAGCTCTGCATGTGTAAATTAGCTGTGATTGCAATTTAAAGGATGTTGCAAATTATGGCATGCTGGCTAAAATGTATTAGAAAGATTGAACAGAGCCTTGTGTCCTTTCAGAATGAAATATTTGTAATCCAGCTGTTGAATGAGAACAGTTACCTCAAAATCAGTCAAATGCAGCAGTATGAAAAAATCCATCAAACAAGTTAAAAAGTAAAGTCCAGCTAGATGAGTAGATGGGCAGTGTTCATGATTTATTTACTTTAATAGATTTGCAAAGCTGAGTCCTGTGCAGCTGTTTGAAAGCAAACCACTTGGATAATAGACATGGGTATGATTTCTGTTGTGTCTGTCCCAGGAAAGCCTTTGTTTTTGTACTGCGAACACTGTTTAATAACAGATCTGTGTTTAGCCTTTTGGCTTTTGAAAACAAATTATTCCCTTTTTGATATCCATCTGATTGTGATGTAACCTCATGATTTAGCTTGAAGTTAGTATTTGTTATTTGGTATCTATTCCTTTCCCAACCGTGCAGCTAGAACTGGCAGTGCATTTTTACAGCTGAACTATATATTGTTAATGCAACATAATGCTCATCAACCACATCCCTTGGTGCATTATCCAATGTGCCTGTATGATAATACTGTTGATTTTGATTGCTTCTTGTACACAGATGTCCTTTTAGAATGTGCTTGAACTCCTGATAGATTTCCAAGTATTTCCAATTGACAGCCTCTTTACAAATACCCATATCAGGGAATATGAGCCAACATTACCATAATTGTATTTGGTCATTCACACAGCCGTCACATTTGAATATAATGAGGAAAACTGATTGTGCTAAAGCACAAGCATTAATTGAAACAAATGGCAAAAAGATGTTTTCACAGTGAATGCATTGATATCTAAGTAGTTTCCCAGCATTTTAATATCAAAAATATGTTGCGATCTACCAGTTCACTTGATAATCTTGAATAATACCAGAGAAGCTGCACATTGTTACTCAGCACACTTTTGGGGTGTTTTTTTTTTCTTGCATTTTAGAAGCAATTACTTGCTGCCTTTCACAACCTTAGCAACAAGTGTCAGGGCAACTGTGATTTTTGTCAGGGGAAAGTGCTGTCCTGTAATTCCAAGGAACACATGGGGAAACCCCGCATGATAAGTCTTTTACTGGGCCTGGATTAGAACCCGTTTACAGCCCAGCTTAAAAAGATTTGCCTGCCCTGTAGGATTGCTGTGTAGACTAGGATGTGTATTCAGACTGCTGTCAGCATTTACACAGTTAAAAGCTGAAGATGGACTTTATTTCATGGGTTTTCACTGATTTGTTTGCAGTCCCCTAGATACACATTGTGCCATGGCACAGCAGTGTCTGAAACACAAAATTGCAAAAAAAGCAAAGCAGGGCTATAAAATCCAACTCCATTTGCACATTACAATTCTGAATTGGTTAAAAATAAAACACTAGTTAGTTACAAGGAAGAGCTACTGAGAATCCATTCAGGATTCTGTAAGTAACACAGTTTGTATCTTATGGAAAGTCACGTGCATTTCAATCAATCAGCATTTCATTTTCCATTATACTGTTGGCATGACAAAGCAGGGAAGTGTTGCTGGAGTTGATACTCTGACTTTCTTATCCGTGTCTAGAAGCTGGTTCATATTGGCCATGAGAGTGTTTTAGATAGTATTTCCATCATGTTATTGCTCAGTCCTGATTCCTTGGCGGACTTCCAAATCTGATGTGTTTTCCTCCTGCAGGTTTTTTGCTTTCTCCCTAGGCTGTGCAGAGTTTGTCTTCTTTGCTTTTTAAGTGGAAAATATTTTGTTGGGCTTTTTGGTTTTTTGTCGGGGGGGGGGAGGGGAGGTTGTTTTGTTTTTGTTTTGTTTTCCCCAGAGGGCTTGAGGGTATTTCTTTCTCACATTTTTCTGTATTAGTGTGTAATTTTCCTTCTTTGTGAAAAGAAGTATTGGTTGGAGAGTTCCCAGAAGTTACGGCTACCATTTAAATTCTTTATTGTTGTCTTTCCTGTTGTGGGAAATTTCAAATGGTATTTACTGGGAGGGAAGGAAAAGAATGAAGGAAATCTGATTGTATCTGGGGGAGGGTTTCTCCATGAGGAAATAAATCGTTCTCTGTTCAAGCATCCCACCAGGTCCTAATTGACAGTGTAGGTAATTACATGTCATGCTAAGGAAGCTTAATCATGCTCTTCTTTGAAAAACTGTTTCTAATCCCTAACATTATTAAGGTGCAACATAATTTTTCAATACCGATAGCTATTTTGTCTCTAAGGTGACCAAATGAGAAACTTTTTATGTTTCTGTCTGACTTGTGTAGATGTATCATGGTACTATAGTACTGTAGTGGATGAAAATTAGGTACACTACCTCTTCTTTCCTTAAAATGTGTCCCCAGTCGGGTTTTCAAACTTCAACTGGTATGTCTTATGTGTGATTATTAAGAGAAAATACAGTAGCTAAACTCACAAATAGTTAGAAAATGCCTTGAGGTATAGAATTGTATTTGGATTTCCAAAAAGT